ATACTTGTTTCTTTAAGATTATCAAGACAAAAAATGTCAATCACATGCAGTTACAAAAAGAAAAGCACTTAGTACTGTCCAGAAGTCTAATATCTTAGCCTCTCGATGACTAATGAATCTCTGAACCTTTGTCATTTGTGCATAGGGAAATGTGTCCTATACATCTATATCTTACAGATGATTTAAAGATCATAATAAAAGGGATGCTACACTTCTGTGGAAACAGGTCCCTTTGACTTAAGAGCCTTTTCACTCTTTCCTGAGGATTGTTTTCCATAATTCAGGAGATTTTGAATTTTACATATTGAAGCATTTCTGCTGTAACATTGACTCCAAATAGTATCTCTCTTCAGAGATCTTAATTATCTGTGACCATTAAAAGAGTAAGGATTCAACCAAACAAAATGTACAATACTTAAAGAGCTAATTTTCTTTCTCAAGTCTGGTCCAGTGTTCACTTGATGTACTTGGTCATTAGGCTGAAGCCGAGGGAGATCTGAATGGAATCCTCACTAACAGATGTTCGTGCTGAAAAAGACAGATGAAATCTAGGTCTACAGCCCCGTGTCTAACTTCCCTTGACAAAGTCTTACCCAATACCTGCAACTTGGCTGCTGTCCAAAAGAACTTTCCCTCTCACCTCCAAGTTCCATGAAGTGGGATTCTACCCCCAGAAATATGGAGTCCTAGAAGCAGGACCCTCAAAGGTATAGTGCTTTCAGTTGTCCGAAAGGTTTGCTTAAGTTCTTACCACATGAACATTCGTGGGGATTTTGAATTTTCCATTTTGAATACAGAGGGAGAAATATATACAATTCTTTTTACCAGAACAACATCTTGAATCTACCCCTCATTCCTGGCTAAGATTATGGAAATCAGAGTCCTATTAGAGAATAAGCAACCGGAGCGTGGTTTCTGCCTAATCTCAACTCCAGTCTTTCTCTATGCCTTGTAGCAATTCCAACCAAGATTACAAGACAAATCTAGACTTTCTTATGCACCACAAGTTCAGCTTCTTATATCTAATTTTACCACTATTTCCCATCTGTTAATTATTAGAGAAATGACTTCCTAATGGAGACCTGTTCTGAACAGAGATTTCTTAGACGTTGCCCAGTCATTTTGTCACAGGAGACAAAATAATCATCTGAAAAATGAGCAGAATGATCTTGGTAAAATTCACTTAATGATCATGACTGTCAATTTCATCTTTTTGTCCCCAAAGCAATGGAAAATAGTTTTATAATGAGTATTAAGAATCTCCCCTGCAAAAAAAAATGGAATACTTGACTAAAGATCTTTAGAATAATTAATCCCTATTCAATATTTTTAATTATTTTACATTACTTTCATTAATTTGACAGTTGAAATGTGGCACACTTAGTTGTTATAATTTGCATTTATCTAATCACTTTGAGTTTGAGCTATTTTTCATAGTTTTGTTTAGACTAATTTTTTTCTCCTTTGTAATTCAGCCTTATACAGGGTTTGTAATAAAATGATTACTTTTCAGTAAAGGGGATAAAACTTCCCCCAAATTTTAACTCTTTGTAGATCATCATTTGTTTCTTTATTTTCCTCAAATTGCTGATTATCCTTGAATTTTGTTTGTGTCATTGGTTGAAAAGAAATATAAAGTCTTTAGAGCACCAACTTATTTTCCTTTGTGATTTCCTCCCTGGTTTTTGACCTCATTAAGCTCTTTATCATTTAAAAATTTGTATTTATTTGTATTTTCTTAGATACATTAATCTACTTTATTCATGTACTTTTTCTAGTATTTTCTTGTGGCTTAAATGTGCTCTATTTATTATTCTTTAATCCACAGAGCACCTATATTTTATGTATTGTGAAATAAATAGAAACATTTTTACATTCTGAAATATTTAATTTCAGAATTATAACATGAATAATTTTATCAATTATTTGTAGATGACTTCCTGTAGTAAAAATTTTTATTTTCATCTAGCTAGATCTTTTCCTAAAGTAAATTTTTGTTCCGTTTTTCTTTCAATTTCTGTACCATTTCCACATAGTTAAATTATTGTATGAGTGATAAACCTAGAGAAACAAGCCACAACTTACTATTTTTCAAAGTATTCTTATTACCAAGTTTTATTCTCCAAGCTGAGCATTAGTACCATTTTACAAAATGCTTTCCACTACTATCCCTCCCCCCCCAACCAAATGCTTTTGGGATTTGGATTGGAATTAATTTTCACAAATCAATTACTTGGTTAAAACAGGCAGGTTTTCCATATTCTTTCTTCAGATCAAGAAAACTACCTTTTCTTAAAATTCAGCAATCCTGTTGTCTCCATCTGTTTAATGATGGAATTTTGGACTCCTAGTCTATTGTGTTGGATCTCCTGAAGCAATCCTTCATGCCTCATCTCTTGTTCACCATAATCATCTCTTTATACTTTTTCTCTGAATTCTTAGAAAAGATCTCAGTGTAGTTCTCTAATCTGACGTTTAGTTTTCTGAAACATCCAATTTG